TGGTCCTGTGCAGCCTGCTCTGGGTGACCCTGCTTCGGCAGGAGGGTTGGACTAGATGACCCACAGAGGTCTCTTCCAACCCCTACCATTCTGTGATTCTGTGTCATTCTGTGACACCAAGTGCTACATGGCTGTTTAATCTAGCAGAGGAAGGTGGTATGAGAAAGGCTGCTTGAATTCTGAAGTTGCATTACCTTGAAAAGAGAAACCAGGCATCTGTACTTCAAGATCTTTTAGAGAAATTCTCAGAAGAGGTAGTGGAACCCTGTCTCTTAATGTTTTCAAATCTAGAGGGGTGGCAGCTTCAAAGCTTGCCTTCCTGAGAAGAGCTAGACCCAGTATGCTGGAAGCAAAGTGAAATTGCGCAAGAATCAGCTCTCCAAGAGCTTGAGACGTGATCTGATGGACTGACTGTGAGTCACTGACAGTGGCAGCGAGGACAGGTCTGAGCAGGGGCAGACGGACTGCTGTGTATGGTGGAGGAGGCAGGAGGTGGTGGCAGTGTGAAGCGGGTGCTCACTGCCCTGCGTGCCTCTCCCTCCATGAGCTGTCTCTGTCTTCTGCAGCGCACCAGCCCAGAAGGTGGGATCCACCTCAGCTGCCATTACTGCCACAATCTTTTCAGCGGGAAGCCGGAGATCCTAGACTGGCAGGTGAGGATTTTTCCCAGGGGGATGCTGAGGCAGAGACCAACCCTGGTGAGGACCACAGGGCTCCTGACTCTCCCTGCTCAAAGCAGAGCTCCTTCTGTGCCAGTGCTCTGAATGCCTTAGCTGCAGAGATGTGCCTGGAGACTGCGCACTGAGTGCTGTGCTCCTGATGTCAGAAGGGCAGGAGGGGACCACTTCTGCCAAACTCTGTGCCAGGAGAGCTGGGGACTTGGCTCAGCCCTGTAGTCTTGCTCTTGCTTCTCTGAGAAGTGTGGGGACCTCCTGCCAGCCTGGCTGACCCAGTCGCGGTCTCTTTGGCAGGACAAGGTGTATCAGTTCTGCTGCAAGGACTGTTGTGAGGACTTCAAGCGGCTGCGTGGGGTGGTGTCTCAGTGTGAGCACTGCAAGCAGGAGAAGCTGCTGCATGAGAAGATCCGCTTCTCTGGAGTGGAGAAGAACTTCTGCAGCGAAGGTACTTGGGGAAGGCATGGGAGAGGCAGAGCCCCCGTGCCAGCCCAATGCTGGGGGAGGAGAAGAGAGCATGGAGAGGAAGAGAGGGGAGACTCTTAGCCAGGCCCTGGGGCGAGAGCCTTGCTGTGCAGTGAAGGGAGGAGTGTCGTGGGGATGGCTTGCTGTCCAGCCAGGCCCTAGGGCAAGATCTTTACCGTTCATTGTGTCCTTGGGGAGGGCTTTCTCACAGCTTTTCTCTCTCTGGGGGCTGGGGAGACAGCAGGTGGCAGCTCCGCTCCTCCTGTCATCATGCACTTCTACGCTCTTGCGTCTGGGCTGGCCTGACCTGGCCTTGCCCTGCCTGCTGGGTTCCTGCACACAGGAGGTTGGAGTCAGACTCTTCCTAGAAGCATGGAGGTGAGAGATGGCAAGTCCCCATGAGGTCCCATCTTATCCCAGCCCCAGGGGCCAGTGCTGGATTGTTCCCTACAGTGTGTTGCGCGTGCTCTGTTGTCTCCGCAGACCTGGATTCTGGTCATGTTTGGGTCAGGGAGGCCCCCAGTTCATCCTGGGAAGGTTTCACTCCTATTGTTTCTCCGCAGGGTGTGTGCTTCTTTACAAACAGGATTTCACCAAGAACCTGGGCCTGTGCTGCATCACCTGCACCTACTGTTCTCAGACCTGCCAGCGGGCGGTCACCGAGCAGCTGGAGGGCAGCACCTGGGACTTCTGTAGTGAAGACTGCAAAAGCAAATACTTGCTCTGGTACTTCAAGGTCAGTATTGGCACTGGCAGCTTGTGCTAAGTGCTGTGGTGGGCACAGCACCCAGATAAGTGGGCATTGCACTGAGGAAGTTCACACTGCTGGAGTCTGGCTGGCACTGCTGCGGAGAACCTGGCACTGCTGGAGTCCTGCCTGGCAATGACGGGACACTGCTACGGGGAAGCTCACGTAGCTGGAGTCCCAAGCTGATCCTGCCAGAGCACTGCACTGAGGAAGCTCACAGTGCTGGATCCGCGGCTAGTGCTGCTGTGAGAAGTTCGCACCGCTGGAGACCCCGGCTGGCACTGGCAGGGCACTGCTGTGGGGAAGCTCACAGCACCTTGCCATGTGCACCTTTCACTGGACAGTTGTGTTGCACTCGGAGGGGGTGTGGTTAGTTACTCGTTGTTTCTCTCCTGCTGATGCGGGCTTTAGGCAGCTCGGTGCCATGCCTGCAAGCGTCAGGGGAAGCTGCTGGAAACCATCCACTGGCGGGGGCAAATCAAACACTTCTGCAACCAGCAGTGTCTGCTGCGATTTTACAATCGGGAGGTGGAAGCTTCTTGCCTGGGACTGGATGAGACGCTAGGGAACAATCCTGCACTGGCCCTTGGTGGGGGGGAAAGGACGGAGTGGGACCTAATGGGGCTTCTCGATCTCTAACGTCTATGGTTCTATGACACACAGGGCCCAGCGGGAGGAGCCGGTGCCAGCGTGCTGCCTGTAGCTCACACTCTTAGTGAGGATACTCAGGGATTTAACGTCCTCATGTTGCCAGCGGAGAGCTCGATTTACAGGGTTAGGGGACAGCGTGGTTTGGCATGATAATCCACCTGCAGCCCCACACCACCTCCGAGCTGTGACCTTCTCAGATCTCATAAACTAATCAGGATTGGGCCAGGTCAGTGCTTGGATGGGAAACATTCAAGGAAAATGCAGGGTGCTGCAGGAAGTGGTGCTGGTGATGCTGTAGGTGGGCTCTCCTCAGCCAGAGCTGAACCTAGAATGATCTTGAGGGAGCACTCAGCTGCTGGAGGCACTCTGTCTCGCGATGTTAGATTGGAGTCCTACCACTTACCCAAAGATTGCTGTGGCTTTGGGGAATTGTCAACCCCTGTCCCGGATAACCCCACTCTGCATCCATGGAGTTCCAGCTGGAGAGGAGATTTTCTCTGCCTGTTGCCCCATTTCCTATCATTAATTTGAGCCAGTTGTTTGCGGAAGATTGCAAAGTGCTTTGGGGTCCCTCAGTATGGAAGGTGCTCATAGTGACAAGACATCGCTTGGCCCTTGGACACTCATGTAGTCTCATTCTGCTCGGCCTTTCATAGGCCGTGATCTTCTAGGTAATCTGTGTCATCTAGTTAAAATGCCTGCAGCTTATGGTGGGACTGGCTTCATGCATCAAGCTTCGACAGACACCTGCATCACAGGCGCAGGGCTTTGCTGCCATCCCTGGGATTTCATGAGGTGTAAAACCCTGACTAGGATGTGCCAAGGAGGGGAAACCAAGACAAGGACCTTCTCATGAGAGACATCGTCCTCCATCTCCAGACTCTTCCTGGTTCCTCTCCTGACAGCAGTGGGCTGATTGCGAGATGGGGGAAGCCCTGGATGTCAGTGCTGCTTAGACAGCAAAGCAGAGCTGGTCTGCCAGAAGCAGCAGGTTCCCCCAGCCAGGGGAGTCCCAACCTGCCCTCCAAGAGCCACACTTCGTAAATCACTGTGTGAGGCGACGGCTCAAGTGACAGCACACTGGAGTGACCTGGATGAGGAATTGTTGGTTTCTGCTGACAAGAGGGTGCCCAAGGGGAGTCTGCTTGATGGGACACAGACTGTCCTGCTGCCCAGGGAAGGAAGAGGTATTGAGCTTGTTGGTTCGTGTAGCTCACCAAGTGAGTCATTCCACAGCCCTAGACATGCAGTTCCATTTGTCCTCTGTTTTCAAGGCATCTCCCTTGTGAGGGACCAGTAACACTGCTTTTGGGACACAGGCATAACGAGCAAGCTCTGCCTGCAGAGGGAAGCATGTTTCACACTGTTTGGCCATTGTCTCCTTGGAGCCATGGACAACAAGACTGAGAAGTATCTTCTCTACCACCACCAACCACGAGGGTCTGAGCCCCCCCGTCCACCACGTCTCTGGAGGCCCCCAAGAACTTTGCTCTTTGGCATGTGGGGCATCACCCTTCGCTGTGCCACAGCTGCCTCTCCGTGTGCCTTGTGAGGCAGAGGACTGAGGGCAGCCAAGGAAAAGCCTGTCAGCAGTGGTGAGTGCCTGGCTGAGCACAAGCTCCAAGGCTGCCCCAGCAGCTGCCATGCTTGGTGAATGCTGCTGGTGGCACTGGGCCCTCTGTTCTGGCACACCCATCACCTGCCAGTTCTGGGATAGCAGTGGACATCCCTGTCCCGGGACTGTGGCATGTTGCTCAGCTTGCAAAGGAAGGCTGCTGGAGCCAGGGCCTCCCATGTGCTTACACAGAGCTTTCCAGCCCAGCCTGCTGTGCAGGGTATTTCACGAGGAGCAGGTCAGTGCATGGTGAGGAACAGCTTCTGCTTGGTCAAGCCACAGTCTCCTGTGGACCTGGCAACTGTGTTGCCAGCTCACAAGGGACTGCCTAGATTTCAGGCCTGTCTCTTGGGCAGAGCTGCTGACTACTTGCTTCTCTTGCAGCCAGTGGTTGCCTAAAACCATTCATTCCTGTGACCCAGTGGCTGCTGCCAACCTGATGATCCTGAGAGTACTTGCTGATGATAAAAGTGGCCATTCCTTTGCCGAGAACAGTCTATGTAATGAGGGATTGAGGAGCTTCTGCCACAGAACTGTGCCCAAATTCTTCCAAGGGGAACTGGCTCTGCACAGGGCTGTGCAGCTGGAGAGGACAGAGGGCCAGAATTCATGGGTGGTGCAGGCAATGCCTTGACAGCTCCTTTCTGGTGTTGGGATGAGAGTAAAGAACAAGCTGCAGCTTTCCTGGAAGCCTGGACATGTAGCACATGGAGCTTTGTGGCAGGAGAATCTTATTTTCCTTAGTCTTTAATCATTGACTGATGGGGCAATCATCTTTGTTTTTGATTCTGCTGCAGCAGAAACTCTGCTCATACTCCATAGCTTGTCTTTTCTCATTCAAGTCATTGATGTCTCCCACCAAGACCTGCTGCCCATCCACTTCGGGCTGGTCAGGGGGAATTCTTGGACCCATTGAGACTATTGCAGATCCTATGGCTGAATGCTCAGCTGCAGGCTAGGGAGCTTCCTCCTACTCAAACTTACCTGTCCTGCTGTGGTGGTCAGCAAGTGGACCCTGTCGGGTGTCCAGTTGCCCAAGAGCTGTCCTGCTTTTACTTGGGAGAGGAAATCTGTGCAGTGTGAATGTCTTGTGTGTTGGTACTTTGGGAGTCTGTGTCTTTCTTGGAGAGCCTATCTGTATGTAGGAGGTGCAAATGGACCCACCACTCCCTTTGGGTGCTGAGACCTGCTGCTTTCCTTGCAGGTATCTCCATGCATGGCCCACGGTTAGTCAGTGCTGTAGAAGGCAGTTCTTTTTCCCAGCCACATGAGTAACCAGGGCTCACGGGAGACTTGGATGAAGGTGCTCTTGTAGCTTATCAGCCTTTGAGATGGGTACAGGTTCTCTGCAGAGTAAATGAGCTGGAATTACCATCCAAGCCAGGGTGATATTGTCACCACCTGAGACTAGTGTCTGCTGCACGCACCTCTTACCTACAGGTGATCCCTTCTTTCCTTAGGGGAATGGATTGCATCCCTAGGGCTGGGACAAAGCTGTCTCTCTGCTTTCAGGGATTTCTTGCAACACTACTACTAGCTCTGTCACCTTCTTCTTAGGGATCTCGAAGCACTTTGCCAAGACACTTGTAGGAGGGAGATGGACGCACAGGGAAGGGCCGTGGCTAGGTACAGCAAGCCAATAGGCAGAGGTGGGAATAGAGCCCCTGACTCCTCTCTCTACAAGGGGCTGGGATTTCTCCTGGTGTGCTCTGATGGGGATGGGGTGGACTTCAAGGGAGCACAAACTGACATGAGAGTGACTTGGTTTTGGAGTTCTAGTGTCTTCTGAGCTGCTAGGGCTAGAGACTGTGGAAACATTAACTGTTCCTGGAGTGGCCAGGAGCAGTTTCTGGGGAGCCTGTCCCTGCTCTCTGGCTGCTGCCACCTCCAGTCCCAGCAGTGGGACCTGTTGGCCCAGGAACTCTTGAAATTAAAATTGTTGCTTTCTTTTACAGGTCAGACTTCAGAGCCAAAACCACCTGCCCCTTCCCCACAGAAGGCAGAGACCAACATGGTAAGGCCTGTTGTAGGTAGGAGTTTGCAAGATAGCACAAAGGGGCTGTCCCCAAAGAGAGGACAGATCTGCCGTTGCTGAGGGAGATTTCATTCTTCTGCAGCAAATGCATTATAAGATGTCTGGGTAGTGTGAACTGATAAAAGCTGCTGGGGAGGACAGTGTCAGCAGATCTCCCGCAAGGGGGAAGAATAACCACCCCCCAGGAACAGATGATGGGCTCCAGAACAGCCTGCCACTGTGGTACCGGCTCATCTTTGCATGATGCACCTCCATGCTTGGGTATAGTTCCTGTCCCACTGTGTTCCCTGTGGCCCCGTAGGGCAGGAGCACCAAGTGCCAGACTCCCTGCTGGCTGCTGCTGAGGTGCTGCATAGGCTTGCTGCCTACCAGGAGCAGCTTGGCAGTCCTTTGGCCAGGTCTGACTGACTGTGGGAGTGTCCACGTGCATGTGTCTGTGTGCTGAGGACCGCCAGGCTCCAGGAGGTGCTTTGGGAGTCTCTCCAGCTGTACCCGTGGTTGGGAAGGGGTGCTGCTGCCTGAGGTCGACACCAACCTCCTGCTTTCTGCGTTTCCTCAGCTTTCAGCAAAGACGTCCTCAGCCCAGATATCTCCATCCGCACCACCTCCCCCGCCCCCTCCAGTTCCAGCCACCCCTCGGAAAAACAAAGCTGCCATGTGTAAACCACTGATGCAGAACCGGGGCGTTTCCTGCAAGATGGAAATGAAGTCCAAAGGATGTCAGACAGGTAGGAAAACGAGACACAACTGCAGGATTACAGGGACATTTTGGAAAAGGCGAGTAGCACATCCCTGCTCCAGACTAAATGTGCATCCAGCTTGAAATGCTGTACACAGCAGCTGGGTGTTTGGCACCGTGCTGAGGAGTCTCAGGGCAGTGCAGGGCACACACGGCAGAGCTGGAGGTAGGGAGCCCACTTCCATTAGCAGCAAAAAGAGAGAAGAGAGCACTGCAGCATGATCCCACCTCTTATGGGACAACTCCTGTTCCTCTGGAGATCATCAGCTTGTCTGAGAAGCCATCTGCTGAGCAGGTTCCACTGTGTAGCTCTTGTCGGGCATGTGTGTGTCATCTCCAGCATATGCACGGCAACTAGACCTCTCAGCAGGTCCACGTAAGATTAGGGCTTGCACCTCTGGCTAAGGCAAGCCTCTCTTGTTGCAGGGCTGTTTGGCTTGCTGCTACTTCAGCTCTGCCCATGAGTCATAGAATTTGGTGGCTGTAAGAGCCATGGTGCTGGATGTCTGGGGGCATGGCAGAGTGCAGCAGGGCTGGGTGGAGGAGCTGCTGGGAGCAAGCTCACTGACATACTTTTGCTCTTGTCAGAGGCTGACTGGAAGCCCCAGGTGATTGTGTTGCCAATCCCCGTCCCGATCTTCGTGCCTGTGCCTATGCATATGTACTGCCAGAAAGTACCTGTGCCTTTCTCCATGCCTGTCCCGGTAAGCAACACACTCCACCCGCTTGTGTTCTCTTACTGTCTCAATCCTGCCCTGCTGCAGCCTTCCTGCTTCTCTGTTTGTCCTCTTCTCCTGCCTCTGCTTTTATGTCAGTCAACTGAGTGTCAGTTTTCTGCTTGGTGTGCTGCTGTTGACAGGTGCCTGTGCCAATGTTCCTGCCCACCACGCTGGAGAGCACAGATAAGATTGTGGAGACCATTGAGGAGCTGAAGGTGAAGATCCCATCCAATCCTCTGGAGGCTGACATCCTGGCCATGGCAGAGATGATTGCAGAGGCTGAGGAACTGGACAAGGCCTCCTCAGACCTGTGTGGTAGGTTCAGCCACGGCTTAGTCTGGCCCAACAGCTGGGATCATGTGGGATTTGCCAGCTCTTTAAACTAGAGCATCTGCCTGGATGGCAGCTCCCCAAAAGCCTTTGAAAAGGGAGCAGGGGAGAGCAAGTCCTCAACTTCTGCTGAGGAGGTACCAGGAGAGAAGAGCTGCAGCAGGGAGCAGTGCCTGCCACTGTCGCTTTTGGGGGTGCCAGTCTTGTAGCACGTGTGCAGTACTGTTAATTTATTCAGGTGGCTGTTCAGGCTCTTACCTCAGGCAGCTTCCCTGTCAGAAGATTAACACCCCTGACCTCACAGGTCTTTTTATTTGGGTGCTGCGTTTCTCATGCCCTGGTGAGGAGGGCTGTGGCTGGGAAGAGGACAAATGTCCAGTGCCTTGCTGCCCCGGGAAAACTGGGCAGAGCAGTGCCATGGGGCTGCTCTGAGCACAGGACTGTGCTGCAGGGAGCCTGACTTCATTTTCCAGCTGTCACAGGGAGTACAGGCAAAAGACTTTCTTGAAAGTTGTTGTGATCTGCTTTTGTGTTGCAGACCTGGTGAGTAACCAGAGTGCAGAGGGTCTCTTGGAGGACTGTGATCTGTTTGGACCAGCACGGGACGATGTGTTGGCTATGGCCGTCAAGATGGCAAATGTCCTTGATGAGCCGGGCCAGGACCTGGAGGCTGACTTTCCTAAGAGTAAGAGCTGGGTGAAGCAGGCATGCAGGGCTGCTCATGCTGCAGCAGGGTCCTCCCGCTGCCCTTGGCCGACTGTTGTCAACAGCATTAAGAGCTGTGTGAACTTACCTCCCCGTCCCCTCTAACTAGCCGGGTTTGAGGCCAGGAACTGAGGGTCTTGCAGATGACTGCTCACAGCAGCGATGAGGAGACCACCATTTGTGAAGGAGTATGTGTTTGTCTAGACTAACTGACCTGTTGCGAACATAGGTCTGCAGAGAAGGAGGAATGAGAAGCTGATTTTAACAGCACAAAGGGCAGGGTGGTGGGACTGGTGTGCTTATGGATGGTGATTCTAGAGGATCCAGCAAGGCAAGAGAGAGACCTGGTCAGGGCATGACATCCTGGGAGATGGCAAAATTGCTGAGTGTCCGTTAGCGGGCAGAAGGTGGAAGAAGAGGCCGGGACTTGCAAGAGCACAACAGTGCTGAGGCAGGATGCTAGCAGCAACGGACAGAGAACTGGGGTGCCTGTGCCCGGCTGTCCCCAGTGCTGGCCTGGCACAAGGAGATAAAGAACGTTCCTCAGGTTTCAAAAACAAACAAGAAACTGTCAGAGCAGAGGATGTGGGGCTCTGGTTAGTCTGAGTGGGTGCTGCCTTCAAAGCTTAGCATTATCTGCCAGAGCTGTATTTCCTTTGTTGGGCTGTGGCTGGAAGTTCATACCAGGCAGTTATGGAGCATGTGAAGCGTTGGGCCATGTGTTCCCCCTTCATCTTGCTGTAAGAGCCAGGCCAGTGCAGGGGACAGGATGAGTAGTCTCAGCTGAGTCCTTCTGCCTGTGTTTCCTTTCAGACCCTCTAGACATCAACCCCAGTGTGGACTTCCTCTTTGACTGCGGGCTGGTGGGACCAGATGATGTGTCCGCAGAGCAAGATCTGCCTCGTGCTGTCCGAAAGGTGAGTTCTCCATGGGTACTGCCTGCTTTGAGCTCTTTGGGTTTGGAGTGGGAGCTGCTGTCTGGGATGTATGAGGTGAAGCGTGCCAGAGGGTTTGGTGCGCTGGTGTGGTTGTGCCCTCTCCTGTCAGGGCATGCCTGGCCTGTGGGTCACTCCTTGAATGAAAATACTTGGAGACTTTGGAGGAGCTGTGAATGATACAGGTGGTGTGAGAGCTGGCCTTTCTCCTCCCTGTGGTTCTTATAACTAACGGGCATTGCTGTCTTAACTGTCAGCAGAAGGATGCTGGCATGGGCACAGGCACACTGGGAGGAAGCTGGCAGTCAGCAAGTCTGAGGAGTGGCCAGGACTCTTGCATCTGTCCCAGGTAGGTGCCCAGTCTCACAACACACCTCTCTGCAGGGACAGAAGCGTCTGGTGCTCTCTGAAAGCTGTTCCCGGGACTCAATGAGCAGCCAGCCCAGCTGCACAGTGCTGAACTACTCATACGGTGTGAATGCGTGGAAGTCCTGGGTGCAAGCCAAGTATGCAGGGGGAGAGACCAGTAAGGGAGAGGAGCTACGCTTTGGCCGTAAGTGCCCTGTCCGGATGGGGTGGAGTGGCAGAAACCTCCCAGAAGCTGGGTCCCAGGGTGTTGAGGTGCTTCTGGCCTTGCAGGCTATTGTCTGAGACTGCTGTGCTTGCCTCCACAGCCAAGCCCATGAGGATCAAGGAAGACATCTTGGCCTGCACAGCAGCTGAACTCAACTACGGACTGGCCCAGTTTGTCAAGGAGATAACACGGCCCAATGGGGAGCGCTATGAACCGGATAGCATCTATTACCTCTGTCTTGGCATCCAGCAGGTAAGGGAGGGCTTGCTGCCTTCAAGTCCCCCGCAGCCAGACCTGGGGGTCAGATGTGGTGAGGGAGCTTGTACCCTTTATGGTGTCTTCTGGGGACCCCGAGAGGCTCACTGGACTCTCCTTCAGTGCCTCACCCCAGGACAGCAGTCACCTGGTTCGATCTTTGTTCCCAAGCCCAGCAGCTGGGGTGGCAGCTATTCCCTAGCCTTGCACCCTTCTTGCACGTTCTTGAGGAGGGCTGCGAGATCTCCCAAATTCAGTCCCTTCTTCAGCACCAAGTCTGCTTTGTCATGCCCCGGGGTTTTCTCCACAGCTCTCAGAAGTGGCTGGTGTTAGGAGTCAGCCCTGCAGCTCTGCTTGTACAAGGAGGGGTGCTCTGCATGTTGTGCCCCAGGATGTCTGGGGAGGGTTTGCATTCCAGGTGCTGCCATGTCTCTCTTGACTGTGTGTTCTGTCCTTTCTAGTACCTGCTCGAGAACAATCGTATGGTGAATATATTTACAGACCTTTACTACCTGACCTTCGTGCAGGAGCTGAACAAGTCCCTGAGTGGCTGGCAACCCACAATCTTACCAAATAGTATGTGTCTCTGGAGTACCTTCAGTCACCACATGTACCCAGTTTGGGCTTCTAGCCTTGGATCCTCTGGTCTGGTTATGCTCCCCCAGTCTTAGCCCTCTTCCTTGGAATAAGCAGCATGGTCCCGCTGTGTCTTGGGGTCATACTGACCCATACCGACAGTGGAGCCAGCCTGGTTTACGCCTCAGCAGCTTCTGCTGCCAAGAGTCGGGGTAGCTGGGAGCAGAGCACTGCTGCTTTGTGTCCTGGGACAGTTAGAATCTTTACAACACTTCACAATGATGTCTCCACCCTTTGGCAAAGAGGATACCAAGTCAGGAGGCACGCTGGCCCATGCCTTTGTGTTCTCAGCACATAGGCGAGCCCTGCACACTCTGGTGAGCATTGGCTGGGGTTGCCGTGCTGCTGCCTTGTGGGTGGATTGACTTAGAGCTCTGCAGAGGCTTTTCATGATGCTGTGATCTGGGCTGCCTTCTCTGCTGTGTCTTGTCTGTGATTACTTCACAGATTGAGCTTCACCTCTGCATATTGGCTGTCCCACGCAGAGGCATTTGGCTCCAGACCTGTGTGTCTAGGCAGGAGCTGGTCATGTCTGTCCTGCCTGCTGCTCTTCCTTCATCTCACACTGAGTGTGGTGAAGCACTGACCTGGAGTTCAGTTTGTGGCCATGTATAAGGAAGAGCCTTTAGGACTGATTGGCATTCTGGCCCATGGTTTGGCTGCGCTCTGGGGTGGCTCATGGCAGGGCAGAGCCAGCATCTAGCTCTGCTGATGGCTCTGGAGAAGTAACCTCGTGGAAAAGGGAATGTTGTGATGCGTCAGTCTTTTGCAGTGACCTTGCCTGGGCAGGGTGATGGGATTGCCACAAGGCCACTGTTGATGTGACCTGATTCTTCCTCTGTGCGTTGCAGACACAGTTTTCTCACGTGTTGAGGAGGAGCACCTCTGGGAATGCAAGCAGCTGGGCGTTTACTCACCTTTCGTGCTCCTCAACACCCTCATGTTCTTCAACACCAAGTTTTTTGGGCTGCAGACAGCAGAGGAGCACATGCAGCTGTCCTTCACCAATGTGGTGCGCCAGTCCCGCAAATGCACCACGGCCCGAGGCGTGACAAAGGTGGTGAGCATCCGCTACTACGCTCCTGCCAAGCAGAAAAAAGGCCGAGGTAGGGTCTGATGAAGCATCTTTCTGTCCCTCCCCTTGCCTCCCCGGCTGGGTCCCAACCGTGATCCTGCTCTCTCCCCCTCTGCAGATGGCAGCTCTGGAAAACGGAAGCGTGAGGAGGAGGTACCAGTGCTGGAGCAGCGGGAGAACAGGATGAACCCACTCCGATGCCCTGTCAAATTCTATGAGTTTTATCTCTCCAAATGGTGAGGCTTTCTCTGGAGAAGGTGCATGTGCCATTTTGGGGCTACTTCTCCATTTTGGTGGGACCCTGTGGGGTGGCTGCTGCTCTGCAAACATTTGTACTTGAGTGTGAAGCCTTGCCCAGGGTCTGCACTTGCTCCTATAGACTGTGTTTGAGAGAATGCTGCTCTCTGGCCCCTTCCACTACTTGCCTCTCTCCAGACAGGAAGGAGTGCAGTATGAGTCCTGGTGCTTGGCTGGTTAGGGGCTTTGGTCCTGAGCGAGGAGCTGCAGACTCAGTTTGTATCCTTTGCTGAAGGATGAGAGGCTGTGACAAGCCTTTAGCGCCTTTTGATAACCATGAGGGCAGGCCAGATTTTCTGAGGCCCTGGAGCTGATATCCTTGGGCTCAGCTTCCTCTCTCTTTACAGTCCCGAGAGTCTTCGGAACCGCAATGATGTCTTCTACCTGCAACCTGAACGGTCGTGCATTGCTGAGTCCCCCCTCTG